TCAGAATCCTTGTGAGAATGTCCACGTCTAATCACTCTGATCTTCATCACCAAATCCTGACTTCAGTCACTTCCCACCTTCCCTCATGCATTAAATGCTACTTTGTGGCCAATGGGTTTTGCTGCATTAAACCGGCACTACTTCATTAAATGAAGCCTGGGACCCTGTTGTCACGTGATGATTCGCCTTTAATGCCTTTGGCCGTGATTTTGCTCGGCCTTGTCCTCGGCCTGCGCTCGAGGCCGAGATGATCATGCCTTAGCATTTTTCTTTTGTCTTCAGGAAGGCAAAGCACCCTGTTGAAACGCTGCGTTTCAGTTTTACGAGCAAGTGGCAGGGCTGAGAAAAGGGGCTCCTTCGGCTAGCTTATGGCCGTGATTTATTAGGCACAAACAAGTAGTAGTAGACTTAGAATGGGGTGATGGTGATGGTGAGAAAGAAGAAGGGGTGAGTGACAATGGGAATGGAGAAAATACTAATGGAGAGATAGGAGAGACTCGTGATAAGGGAGTTAGAGAAGAGGAAGATGGTTCTAGTGAGTGTGAAGAGAAAGTGAGGGAGTTGAGGCAATCTCGTGAGAGACAACCTCCTATGTGGATGGGTGATTATGTTAGTGGTGAAGGTCTATTTGAGGATGAAGTTCATATGGCATTAGTGGAGTCAACTGATCCGTTGTATTTTGAGGAAGCGGTGAAGAGTGCAAATTAGAGATTGGCCATGAACAGTGAAATCAAATCCATCGAAAAGAACCAAACATGGACACTCACTGAGCTGCCAGCTGGGGCCAAAAGAATAGGAGTGAAGTGGGTTCAAAACTAAATACAATGAGCATGGAAAGATTGATAAGTACAAGGCTCGTTTGGTTGCTAAAGGGTACTCTCAGAAATATGGAGTGCACTATACATAAGTTTTTGACTAGTGGCAAGGATGGATATAGTAAGGATGATTATTGCTCTGGCTGAACAGAAGAATTGGATGATTTTTCAGCTCGATGTCAAGTCGGCTTTTCTCCATTGTGAGCTGAGTGAAGATGTTTATGTAGAGCAACCAAGAGGATATGAAAAAAAGGGCAGTGAGCATCTAGTTTACAAGTTACACAAAGCCTTGTATGGATTAAAACAAGCTCCACGAGCTTGGTTTAGTCGAATCGAAGCACATTTCATTGGTGAAGGGTTTCGGAGGTGCAATAGCGAGCATACATTATTCACAAAGAGAAGCAGAGAAGGAAAAATTATCATTGTATGTGTTTATGTTGATGATTTACTTTTTACTAGTAATGATGAAGTTACGATGTCTGAATTAAAAGCTCTATGTTAAGAGAGTTTGATATGTCTGACTTAGGGAAGATGAGGTTTTTTCTTGGGATCGAGTTGCTACAAAAGTCTGATGGTATTTATATATGCCAAAGGAAATACGCATTGGAGGTTTTGAGAAGGTTTGGTATGATGGAAAGTAATTCGGTGGGCAGTCCAATAGTTCCAGGTTTCAAAATAAGCAG